GCGCAATTAATCTCGAGGATGCCCCGATCGCCAAATTACAACGGATGTGGCACGAAGCTTGTGAAAGTGGTTCTTCAATTTAGACAAATATCAGCAATGGTAGTGGAGGGATGGTATGCAGGCCGCAGCAGCCTTCTTTCCGATCTCCGGATCAAAGCAGCATCTGCTAAGCAAACACACGAGAGCAACCACTTAGTCAGACCACTTACCGATAAGAGTTCGGATAACTTCCATCAACTAGCCAACGAAACTGGAAACCACACTCATACATTACATACAAAATGAGAAGCAAAACGGTAATGGTAGGATCCATGAATCGGACACAGATGAGTTCGCCATCCCCACCTAAAACACGATTAGTTGCCGACCTTTCACCGGCCGGCACAGCATTTTATCCAAAACACCTAACAATATAATGCTAAAAACAAACTTTCCTGCAGGTACACCATCGCACAAGGTCTCCTGAACAAGCTTGCGGAACTTCGGCTAGGTCAAGCGTCACATGTCTGGGAGCTCTTACCCGTTACAGAATCCTGGATGCACTCAGTAATTACCGATGCCGAAGTCGCGGTAAATGGTATGTCCCTTCTCCGAAAAGGTCTACCTAGCAAAGGTGAGGGGTAATGCTATACTACCGCAACCACCTGCAGTACGAACCGATGGCCGATCCGAAAACACTGATCATAGACTCACTCTGGTTCAGTCCGCGAATGCGATGCATCGACACTACCGTTTGGTCGTTGTTTCTCATCCCTCAATGTCCACCACAGAGATGGAGTCCCGCCTGGCATTATCCTTGGGAAGGGTCCTACGAGGACGATGCAGTCATGTTCTCATCTCAGGTGACTACAGGCTTCAAGATTTGGAAGTTCCGGCATTCCCCAAATAGCAGTTTAAGACCGACCTGCAAAAGTATACTGCAAGCATTCCGCTCTTCAACCATGTAACTTCACCCACCCGATTCAGAGCCGGAAATAAACCATCTGTGCTTGATTTAGTGCTCACGAACGAAGAACTCATGGTTGAGAAACCAAGGCTGGAGAGCCTTCTGGGGCGAAGCGACCAAGCAACCATAATTTACAACTTCGTGTGTTATACGGAGTATCCAAAGGGACGTACTAACTTGTTTCGAACAATCACCCACCACGACATACTGGCAGAATTTGTGGGAAGTACCATATGGGAGTTTTCAGACGCCCGTTCCATTGACAGTGCCTTGTTGGATTTTACTGGCAAGTTCATTGATCTGATTAAATCTGCATCGGTCAACAAGTCCCTTCGTTCTGCTAGGATAAAATCCTACATTCTGAGCAGAACCCGAAGAAACATGACAGTAAGAGACGCCGCGTGGCATGTGTATAAAGCGAAGCCTAGCCATGATAACTGGAGTAACTATGTTGTTCATCGTAATCACAGTACCACACTTGTGCGCGAGGACAAGTCAATACACCAGCGAAGTCTAGCGGAAAGTTTCGTGTTAACAAAAGGCTTCTGTACAGACATGTGAACAGCCTCCGGAATGTGAAACGTGGTGTTCCCCCACTACTATCTGTATGGATGTGTTCAAACCGCCGAGGATGCAGCCAACATTCTACGGCGACAATATGCCCCAACTTTCCGACGTTCTACCATCGTTTGTAGCATACCTGTGCCATTCTCCTCGATGCCAGTATGTCCACACGTCCCGTTTAGTTCGTCGACCATTTTGAGGAACCTGCTGTCGTTGCGTACCCATAGTTCCCTCGGACTTGATAACATTCCCCCGAAAGCACTGTAGGTGGCAGCTACGAGGATAGCTGAACCATTAACTCGATGTTTCTAAAGATGCCTGGACGAATAGCAGGTCCCTAGCATGTGGAAGCAAGACTTCATTAGCTAGGTTTTCAAAAGTGGTAGCCTTTCAGAGCCAGCCAACTATAGCCCAGTGGTTCTCCTCTCGGTGCTCTCAAAGGTGATGGAATCGATCATAGCTGAGGCTGTAATGGGCTACTTCAAAAGGTCTAACATCATAGCACCGGAGCAACACGAATTCCGTCAACATCGGTTATGTGCTACTGGCCTACTACTTTCCCATGGCAGTTGGACTGAGATAGCCGACAGTGGGACCGGCATTGATGTCATCTACCTAGACTTTTCCAAAGCATTCTTCCGCCTAGATCACCGCAGCCTTCTCCAAAAAATGCAAGCATAAGCAGTGGGAAACCATGTCCTTGGATGGATCGGAAACTTCCTCTTTCAGCTGCGCCTTCAGGTTCGAGTTCGAGGTTCATTTTCTGATCAAATTGGTGTGGACTGCGATGTTCCACAAGTGTGTTGGATAGGTCTACCTTCGTGCAATAGCATTAGCTAGACGGGATAGAATGTCTTCCAATGTAAGCAGGGCATAGTTCTCTAAGCAGTGCGTTGTTCAACGGCGTTGGACCGATTAAACACACGCTGCACTTTAGCCTTGTTTGTAACCATTTCAACTCGACTCATCCAGTCATTGGTTCATTGGCCTTAACGATTCCGCCCGCCTTCGTGGATTTACTCGATTTGGCAGAAAAGTTAGCATGCATCGCAGCTGGTCGTACTGATGGGTTTAAGGGAAACTGTACAGCTTCAAACCTCCTCAAACCCGTGACTAAACATCTAAGATTACGGTTCACCAACATCGGTTTGTTTTCGACAACCTGCACAAAACGATCATGGTCGAAAGTAACAAAACCAAGAGACTGAATTGAATCAGTGCCTATAATCATCGTGAGCTCCTCTTTCACGACCAGAAACCATTCTATGTGAGGTTCCGTGCATTGGATTCACTACATCGATTTTAGGTGAGTTTTTCAGATGAAATCTGGAACCATTCCACATGGGTAAATGATCTTGATGCTGTAGGGTACACACTCCTGAAAAGTGCTTTAGGAGTAGGATGCGAAGAGAAGCACCCCTGTCTAACTGGATTCGTACGGCGCTGCACTTGATTAGAAGGCCTGCGTAAACACATTACTGTGATCCCTTCCGAGACACATTGCTAAGTGAATGATCTGAATTCGCGGGCGACTTGGCACGGAGGAGTGATTTGACAATGGCCAACTGACAGCGACACGCAGTGATCCCTTTCTCCATTCAGCGCACCTTCGTCCCGGACCGGACACTGTTCGCGGCTCATCGGGTGTGGCGCGGTGCAAAATCGCAGATCTACTGTCTCACAGTTGTGGAATTATTGGTTTTGCCCTCCGAAATAGCACGCAATTTCGCATCGGTTGCGAGTAGCATCTGTATCATCAACAAATTTGCGAAACCCTTGTACAATTCGATCGGACCAACATACTGGGCCGTCTCTCATTGTCGAAAAATAAACAAATTTATGTTTATATTTATTAAGATATCTGGTTGAGGATTCACTGTTGTAGGTCTCCATGAAGTACTTGAACGAAAAATTGCATTGTCAAGAAAATTTCTTAGTCGCAATTTCCTCATTGATTCCTAAAGCAATTCGAAATCGTATGCGAATGTCAGCCATGCAACTAGAGAAATTGAAGGGCCGGGATAAAATCTCTAACCCAGTGACATACTTGGTGTTGGATTCATTTGGGTATCTGCTTCGCGAAAAAATATGTAGCGCTGATAGGTCTCATTGCTTTGGCCTTTGAAAAATCCACTTTCGATGACGGTCCCAACATTCGTGGGATAACTAACTTTGTCGTAACGCAATCACTCTAGCACACGACCAGCGTGGTCCCAGACTGCGTGACGAAACATACTTAAGTGATATGCCATCGGTTGTTCTTCCAACTGCATCAATGTGCAGAAATCCACTCACCTACTCTTCAAGGGACACCGTTAATTGCGTGTGTCCGTGTATCCAAGTTCAGCGAGCCAAATACTTGGACAGTCGAGGTGCTCCAATTAGTATCCGGTCGCTGCTTCCAGGGTTAGTTTAGTCTTTTCTGACACCACATCGTAAAACCCGGTCCTTCGAGGACAAACCGTATTTAGACGAGAACCATGCAACAGAAAAACAGCATAGCTTGTTCATATACATTACCCAATCAGTGCCATTATTAACGACACAGTTTCACCAATAGTGTTTACTCTTCACCGCAATTAAGCAACGGTCAGTAACCGGCATCGAATCAGCTGAGTTTGGTGCGGTTAATAGCCGAGGCCGTTCGGATAAATATTACCCACTCAGTGCCATTATTAACGACACAGTTTCACCAATAGTGTTTACTCTTCACCGCAATTAAACAACAGTCAGTAACCGGCATCGAATCAGCTGAGTTTGGTGCGGTTAATAGCCGAGGCCGTTCGGTTCGCCTCTGATCGACTGCCTGCTCCATCCGATACGCTACTCTCATAATAGAGAGTACGCTGACGAGCATTTCTGTGTCCATAACGTGACCAAAAGTTGGTTCGTTTGGCGCATTTCCGGGCGCCTATCGAGCGTATTTAGATCACTCGTATTAGATGGACAGGTACTGTTTAAGCACCAATCGGCATTGTGTGGCGCAGTGGACTCTACTGGGACACGAAGGTAGACCTCACTGCACAATGGAATACTACCTGCAGTGTGGAAAACGACCAGCTTATACATACTATAAGGCTCGCTCCATAGTGGCTAATTAATAATGAGCACGCCAATTCGTAAAAAACCAGCGTGTTTCTCGCAGTGAATCGCCATAGCCTCAATCGAATTAATCCACTGCGTAAACCAGGAGAGATCCAAAGGGACGCATGCATCGATATTTCAACGCACTTGTCCTGGATATCAATGTGGCAGCAGAGGGCGTAGCGCTTTACAAATAACGCTGCAACTGCCCTCGTGATCAATCACCCGAGTACCAGACTGTTTGAAACGGTGATGTAACGTAGTTCTAGAATTGGCGAGCAATGGCAGCGGGAGTTCTGGAGGGGCGCATTAGTTGTCCAGAGAGAAAAAAAGGTAGGCAGCTCTCCAAGATTGAAGGTGGTGGCCCCTCAAAGTTGCACAAAATCGTCTGAGAGAGCGTCACGAGCCCGATCCAAATGTTTACTGTCTGAAAGAAACAATTACGCGACTTTCAAGGTCCTTTGTTGTGCTGAACAACTAAACAACCGGATCGCCATAAATCGATATGAAATGTATGCCAAGTACAAACGTAGTTCTTCCCGCAGTTTACATGTCTGGCGCTGTGGTCGAAGGAACAAAAACGAACAAGACATGGGGAGGACAAGAGTGACCAAAAAGCAACCGGGAATTATTACGGGAAACCAAAAGATTGTATCAATCAGAAAATAAACTGATTTGAAAAAAAGTTGAAGTAAAAAACGCATACGGAAAGTATGTGCGACACCGGGTCGAACATTGGCAACAGATCACAACCCCTGGGATGGGTGTGTGTGTATGTATGTGTACATGTGGCTTGGAGTGCAATGGCTGCTGAAATTATGACAACCAGTCCGTATGTGCGCTCATGCCTGACGAGCAATAAGTGGAGGAGACTGATACCCAGCTTAGGACACAGGCACCTTTCGGCGGAGCTCAGTTCGATGTCCCACGGTGTCACTGCGGTTCCGCGTAGTTGGTGAATCACTGGCGTTGAGCGCGGATAACCGCGCGCTCTTGTGGTAGCTGTTCATGGTGTAGGCTCGTGAACGCATGCCCAAAGGGCTCATCTCTCGATCCGAACCACCGTCCTCCTCCTCATTCGCGATTGTACTCGGATGTGCTTTGCGTTTAAACGTCAATTGGGCGCCAGTGTCATGGGTTTGGGGGAAGGAGCAAGCTGGAGGAGGTGGCACAGCAGTTAGTGATGTGCTTCCCGTAGACTCGGGCGATGTATATGTTCGATCGGAAGACAAACTAAAGAACAGCTTTAGTGAGCCAGAATCGAAGCAATGCAAACGATTAAGCAGCTTGAGGACTTGTATCATCAGCCATGGATCGCCGGCATCGGGTAGTTGGGCTTGAAGTTCGGCCAAGGCTTCTGTATAATTCGTGGAGAAATGATGCGGAAACGCGTCTGCAGGGAGGAACGGAAGGGATTAATGCGGACCAATTGGAGGGACGGAAATGGTACATCAAAAATCACTACATCCTTACAGACAAGATTCAAGATAGTGTGGTTACACAGGGTGGTCAATCCGTCCGGTTGTGTGGACCCAGTTCACAGGGAACCGCTAACTTGACTCGTCGATAAATCTAACGAGCCTATATAGTTGTAAATTACCCCATACACCTCAGTTGCTTCCAGTATGCATACACACCTACAAGTTGGTAAAGACAAGCTGGGCCAAACACACCTGAAACATGTGACATGGTGCCTGTACAGGTACTGCAAACAAGTTATGTAAGCCTATTGTTTCACTTGTGGGTATAGAGGTTATAATCGCTCGAACAGGTGTCAAAAAGAACTAGAGCGCGATTCTTACATGGCAGTTCGATAACAGTCGACTGGAAACATAGGGGAGATGAGTTAATGCAGATAACCGAGATAACCGAGTTTAAATGCAGTTGGACCAGCAGTAAGAGGGCAGAAGCGAAGAACATCTACGCTTAGAAGCCCCACTTACAGCTTGTGGAGGTTAGGTTGTTGTATGGGGTCCAAATGCAGATGAGGAACGACTACAGAAACCCGGAATGCTGTCAGCAAGCACAAGCTAACGGAAGGAGGAGTAGGCAACTGAGTCGGGCCCAACAGGTGGCCCACAAGAGTACTTATTGTATTACAAGTTTTGAGCATTAATTGGTGGATACATCGGTCCGCTAAAAGCTAACATCCAATGAAGCAGCCAATGAGCGCCGAACGTCACGATAATGAGACAACAGGAAAGAATACTCAATGAGATGCAATTGGAGAAGATCATAAGCAAGAGTTGTATTAACTGGTAAAGGGCTAACAGGTATAAGGGACCGAACTCTGGAGCGTCATTATCTTCTCAACTGAGCTATGCGGAATAGGCTTACAGCAAAGTGACGACTAAAAGACGGCATGTGCCGACTTGAGTCCTTCCTGCGACCTTCTCAACCATAAGTTGTAATACAAAACTGATTAGGCAAACTAGTTTCCCTCACCGAAGCGGCACAGCACCAGGACATGTGATCAGCAGACGACTGCTGGGCTCAACCTAAGAGGCATGTAAGGTTTGGCGGAGAACCCACTAACATGCCAAACGATCGGTTACCGAACACCAGCGGTGGATATCGGCACTAGGCTTTTGACGCGCCTACCAGACTCAAGAGAAGTTTCACCGTAAGCAGTGGTTAAACAGGATCGGTTGCTTAATATTTCAACGCGTCTTGTACGCACGATTTTGCTTGTACGAAGATATTGATGACGAACTGCACCCAATGGGAAACTGAAAAGCTGGAGAAAATACAGCATATCGCAATCAGAATGATACCGAAGGTCCTAAAGTTTCCGTATGAAAAACGCTGTGAAAGGCTTGGACTCGACACACTATCCTATCGCCGAGTAAGAATTGACCTTATTGTGACCCATCGAGTACAACACTTAAATCACTTCCCCATACTGTGGCCAATATTTCACCTGCGGGAACCCTGTAACACCGTAGGACACCGTTACAAACTCAGGGTCCCCAACATGAACAAAGTATCACATCAGCTTTGTATCGAACGAAGACTCGTAAGCCTATGGAATACGCCACCATCATCATCATCATCATCATACACGTTAGCTAGAGGTGGGGAACACCTCAGCTACTGTGCCGCAATATACAGAAAAAAGAGAAAAGAGAATGCTACTGGTGCAAGTAAGCTGAGCTATCGGTAACAGATGGGCATCGTTCCGGTAAGCTACCAGCCGGCTACTGTGCGTCAAAAAAATACTATGCGAAATTATATAAAGCTAAATATTGAGAGCGTAGTTGGAGGGGGAGGCTAAGAGGGATGGGGTGGGACAAAGAAACTCACAGCACAAACGCCACTGAGGTCGGCTGCTAGCCATAACAGCAAGTGTGTCCAACCAAACGTGTTCATCGTCTTTCGCACCCCAACCAGGGAGCCGAGACGCTCCAACCGAGGCCAGCTCAGAAGTGAGGGCCTTCATTCCTCTCGACCAAGTCATCGCTTGGCCACCCCTCCTCTTCTTCCATCCACACACCCGGCGCCCTAACAACGCACGTCGCGGGAGTCGGTGGGCTGGCATGCGTAACCCGTGGCCGAGCCATCGGAGTCTGGTGAGTGAAATAACGGTGCTGAGCGGTTCATTTCCTTTTCCTGTGCCGTAAACAAGGCGTCGAACACGCTCGTTGCTCAAGCGGTGTTCCCACCAGATGTGAGCTAAATTACGAAGGCACTGGTGGTCGAACGTAACTAGCCTCTTTATGTCCGCTGCTTTAAGCGGCCAGGTTTCACAACCGTACAGTAGGGTCGAACGTACCGCTGCATTGTACACTCTACTCTTCAGGGCAAGAGTGATGTCGCGCCGGCGCCATAAGTGGCGAAGGTTAGCAAAAGCGCCCCGAGCTTTTGCTATACGGTTCGTGATCTCATCTTCAATCCCACGGGCGCTGATACAACTTCCCAGGAAGTTGAATTTTTGAACGACTTCTAGCTGATCCCCAACAACGGTCAGCGTAGGAGGCGGTCCAGACCAACCTTGGAGGAGCGCTTTGCAATTCGAGGGTGCGAAGCAAAGCCCGAAGTGACGGACAGCTAGTGCTAATCTGTTCAGTGCCGCTTGACACGTTTGTGAGCTGTCACAGATTAGGGCAATATCATCAGCATACTCTAAATCAAGAAGTCGTTCTCCTGGGAGCAGATCCACACCTTCAAAGTCGTGTCCTGTGAACGCGATTTCCATGACTTCGTCAACAGCGAAGTTGAAGAGGAAAGGTGACAGCGGGCATCTTTGTCTCACGCCGCTGGAGATCTTAAAGGGCGACGACAACTTGCCGTAAGTCCTCACTCAGCCCGAGCTACGCGCATATAATGCTCGGATAATATTCACATATTTCCCGGGCACACCTCTCCTGAGTAGACAGTCCCAACGTGCATGTCTATCCACCTAATCGAATGCACCTTTGATATCGAGGAGCACGACAATGGTGGGCCGCCAATATATGTGACGGTGCTCCAACAACTGACGCAAGGTGAAGATGTGGTCAATGCAGCCACGACCACAACGAAATCCAGCTTGCTCTTCACGAATCTGGCTTTCACGAGTGCCAGTCAGTCTGTGAATGATGACAGAGGCAAGCATTTTGGAGGCGATGGAGATCAGACTGATTCCTCTATGGTTGCCGCATTCCGATCGTGAGCCTCCCTTGAAAATTGGGACTATGACGGATGGAATACACTACCCGAAGGATTAATAGAGGCCGATTCTGTGAAGTGTTTGGAAAACCCGTATCGACGATTATTTCGGAAACCTGTGCTTTTGTGAAACGATGCACATACAATGTCAAAAGAAGACATTGTATGCCCGGAAACAATGACACTAGTACAAATTCCTAACCGAACAAGGATAAACGATTAACGGACCAGACACAACTGCTGATGATTCACAACTAAATGTTTTTGATTTTTCGTAATTCGATAGAGTTGTACAGAAACCTTTCTACTTGCTCTTAAACACAGTCTCAGTCTCAGCATGCGCAGTATTTGTTCGATGACCTGTCTTGTTCCTTCACTAAACGATTGTGATTTTGTAAAGCTCCGCGGACTTAATGAATAGGCACAGTGATCTCTACGGTAAGGTGACAGCCGAAGTTGATTTCTATGCCAAAAGGAGTACACTGTTCGACCAAATAGTGGTGCCGTTAAATATTTGTACGTAGCGATGATCTGTCAGCCCACTCCTGACTACTCGTGCAGCGTCCGACGCCAGCTCATGCGGGGATAGGTCCGGATCAATAACAATGAAATTCACATAAAACAGCGGAAACGGTGCCGCTCACAGTCGACTTGATCAGTGTTAAATGGGAGTAGGGGGACACAGCAGTTCATAGACCCCGAAAGTCGCGGAACCGATCTTCGGTGATAGGCCACCTAGCATGGGGTGTACTGGTCGTCCCAATGGCTACAAAACATCGTAGCTGTTGATCAGATTCACCATTACTTAATTTGCATAAATGCTTGTGCTAACCTAGAATCTCCGTTCAGTTTCGACCGATGGCGAATAGGATATGTTGCCCTCCGAGTACCTTGGCTGCATAAGTGGTAATTGACCAAATAACAAACAGCTAAGCACTTTCAGTAAATCTCCTGATAATCCACTCCTCAGACACGCAAAGACAAATGGTACCGATGGATGACTATCGGATCACAACCGCTAGCGATAGCCATCCGCCCAAGCCACTTCCGTTTGATGATGATGGTTGAGACATAAAAGATAAATGAAGGATGAAGAAACAGTCTTCTGACCACTCATAGTTACCTTTAAAGTGCCCAAAAAATCCGATAAGCACAAACACGAAACAGTTCGCATCAACGACTATTCAGAAAATTGGTACCACTTTCTGGCTACAGGTAAACCGCCGTTCCCTATAAAACAGTTATCTGGAGAGGAAGTCTTGTTTTTGTGACTTCCATCAGAGGCCACCTGTAGCGAAAAGGCTCACACAACTGTATCTAATAAGCTGCGTTGACATACGGGGAGGGGTTAGTACACCCGGAACAGCTGGGTCCCAGTGGGAAGGAACACAATTTCAAACCACGCAGGTGGTTCATGACCAGTATATTCATCTGCATGCGCAGCGTCCCAGCTCGGCCACAAAACAGATTCGTGCAGCTGGCCGATTGATGAAAAATAAGCACCCTCTCAAGATCCAGAATGGACAACGACGAGCTGTGCTGAGTTCCACCCAGGATAAGGGAAGCAGAAAGAACATAGTGCATATCAATATAGACTGTATTTAGCATCTGATTAGCCCGATGGATGGAACAGAAGGGAATATGGTAACGGACATGGCCGGAACCCAGTTATGGTAATCAGACTCGATGTTAACCCGTGCACTTACACCTGTTTTTGTGTCAAGAAAAGAATTCGCTGGAGTAAAT